GTCACAGCAAGGAATGAACCAACTGCCGTTGGGCAAAACCCCGGCTTTCTGTCCCCAAGGACTGCGGTACTTCCTTTTCTCATAGCTGTGACCAAATACCAGACGAGAAGCAGCCTAAGAGGGGAAGGATTTATTTGGGCTGTTGCTATTGGCAAACAGGGAAGGCATGATGTTGGAAGGAGGTGGGGGCTCAGTAAGACGGGTCCTCGGCAGCCATTTTCCTGGCTGGCTTTCTGTCCCCAAGGACTGCGGTACTTCCTTTTTTCATAGCTGTGACCAAATACCAGACGAGAAGCAGCCTAAGGGGGGAAGGATTTATTTGGGCTGTTGCTATTGGCAAACAGGGAAGGCATGATGTTGGAAGGAGGTGGGGGCTCAGTAAGACGGGTCCTCGGCAGCCATTTTCCTGGCTGTGGCAGTTCCATGGTCTTAATGACCCAAATTTATCCAGCTAGTCTGAACCTCCCAAGGGTGTCATTACCTCCCCAATCTGCCCTCCCACCTGAGGACCAAGCATTGAAACAGAGGAGAAAATGTGAAGCATTTAACATCACCCTTTGGAAGGACACTTTCCACTTCAGTCATAAGAAGAGCAAAAACAACAGGAGGAATGACAGACTCGAAGCCTTGTGAGTTCCTGGCCACGGATACTGGTACTGACTAGTTACAAGTGAAAACAGAGCATATTTCAATCACCGTTCACATGGGCCTCAAATGCTAGAATAATTTTGGCTTCTGTAGACCTCACCAATTCTATACTCTTGATAGTGAATGTCTTTTCTTATGCCCATACTTATGGGCCTCAGAAGACAGTAGCCCCTTAACACTGTGATGCTGTATCCAAGGCGTAGTCTCCTATACGATACGGGAGGGTGGAGGGTGGAAGACACTTAACCAATTAGGGAGGTTTAACGAAATGGAAGGGCTGGGGAAACTTCCTAATGAAATTCATTACTTTGTACATTTAATTTATACCAAAGAAAGTTTAAAGGAGTTAAAAATGAGAAAGATATACAGCTCAGAATACAACAACACCAGGTCATTTTAAAAAACCTGCACTGAAAGAAAAAAGTAAATTTCCCAAAAGAAAATCAATAATAATAGAACTCAGGACTCCTGAACCAAAACTGGCACCCAAACTCACTATGCTGAGATGAAGAAGATCACCAAGATACATAAGATTATTATCTCCATTTTCAGAAAAAAATTCTGGTCCAACGACTACTGTCCAGCCGAAAAACAGCTTCTCTGCAGTATAAGGACGAGCTCCAGGCCCAGGGCCTGCCTTATATAGACAGTCATCTGCAGTACGTCACAATGACCTGTGATGTCACAGGGAGAAGTGGACCAATCCCAGTTACCCACAGCCATAACCAGTTATCTTTCTGTCTGTCCCGCGGGTGGGGACGCAAACCGGGAGCGTCCGGCAGGTAACGGCACTAAGCCGCGACCCAGTGCGCGTGCCAGGCCCCGTCCCGTGCGTGGGCCGAGGGGGAAGGGCCGAGCGGAGGCCCCGCCTGACCCGCGAGACAGGTCGAACAGTATCAGAGCGGAGGCGCGTGGAGCCGGCAGGAGCGCGGGAGCCATGGCCCTCAGCGGCCGAGCCCGAGGGAGCAGCACAGCCGCCCCCGCGGAGACGCCGCCGCAGCGCGGAGTCAGGTACAGAACCGCCTCGCCGACCTCCGTCTCCCCGGCCTCTCCGCGCACCCCTCGGCCCCCCGCACCCCCCAGCCCGTCTCCCGACCTCCCTGGTCCCCCGGTCCCCCGCCCCCGCCCCGGCCGCGGCCTGCATCCCCGGTGCGGACATCTAAGGCCCGGCTTCCCCTGGGAGTGCGGAGCCCTCCCGCCCGCCGGCTGTGTGCGCACG